TCTCTGTCTGTCTGGCGGGTGCACGCGCCCTACAGTGAAAATCTCTCCAAAAAAAAAAAAAAAAAAAAAAAAAAAAAAAAAAAAAAAAGAAAAAGAAAATCATTATGGAGAAAAATTTAATACCACAGCATAACCCCACCCTTTGAAATTTGTGCAGTGATTAAAGAAATCTTCTTTCATGTAGGTAGCAAGGGCGCCACTATCTTTTCATCTCATTAATTCAATGAAAACCATTACCTTTAAGAAGATCTCTTCTTCCCAAGTGTGGTGTCTTTTACATTTGAATTAGTAATTACATGAAGTCATAGATAATAGCACACTTCACCATGCATCTGAGATGTTCGGAAGAATTACAATTTCTTCACATCATTTATCCAGATTTGAATGTTTTAGTTATGCGTTTTCAAGAGGAGGGGTTATCTAACAACCATCGAGTCATTGTGTATATACGCAGACGTAAAAGTGGCCGCACTGACTTCTCTGCAGCTCTTAGCTGTCCTGCTCCCCAGTTTACGAGATCATTTGAGCACATGTTCTAATTTCTCTCTAATAAAAATGTGCGGGACCAGCAGTTACCGTAATGGCTATGTCGCTGGACTTCCACATAGTCGATCGTGGTTCGAGTCCCGGATCCGGTGGCTTCAATTCACGCTGGGCGCATGTGCATGAGTGCCCAAGATCCCAAGAGGAGAAAGGAGGAGAAGGGATTGCAGCGTGGTCATCGCCCCCGGGGGTGATTTCTCACTTTCTGTCTCTCTGTCTCTCTTTCTGGTGAGCCCACGTGCTCTATGGCAAAAACCTCTCCAAAAAAAATAAAAAAGAAAATATGCAAGATTTTTAGTGTCATATTTAACTACTTAGAGTACGATTTTTACCTTGATGTCTTAATATCCTAGGCACCTGCTGTAATAATATTTTAGAAAATGGGGCTAGCAGGTGGCACAGTGGTTGGCGTGGCTGGACTCCCACATGGCTGACCGTGGTTCAGGTCCCGGATCTGGTAGCTTACTTTCTTACTTTCTCTCTTTCTGTCTCTCTCGGGTCAACTTCAAAAAAAGAATACATCAATGAAATAAAAACATTGACGATGAATAAAATTAAATAATTCTTTAAAAATAATGTTTTAGAAAATGTTTGGAATTTAAGAAATAACTTGTGTTACTAATTTGTATAACCTATATCTGTACAGTGGAATATAAAATTAGTTGACTGGGGGGAACAAAAAAGCCTGGGGCCAGCAGGTGGAGTGGTGGTGAAGAGTGCTGGATCCTCACATGGCTGACCGCGGTTCAAGTCCCAGACTTAGTGGCTTACTTTCTCGCGTTCCTTTTCTCTCTCTCTCTGTCTCCCTTTGGTCAAATTAAAAGAGAGTAACAAATGGAATTAAATAAATAAATCTTTTTTTAAAAAAGCCTACTGAAATTGCTACGGTAAAAATGCTAAATTCTCTCCTCTTTCTTCCTCATAATGCTAAATTAACCCTGGTATCCTAGTGTCCTTTAAAAAAAAAGGACTTACTGGACTCGTGCTTTGCCACTGGCTGGAAATATACACGCAGAGTCGACTGTAACTGGCTAAGCCTCAGCCTGACTATTCATCATTATTCTTTCTTTCTTACTTTCTTTTTCTTTTTTTGGAGAGATTTTTTGCTATAGGGCCCGTGTGTTCGCCAAAAAGACAGAGACAGACAGAGAGATAGAAAGTGAGAAATCACCCCCCAGGGGCGATGGCCACACCGCAATCCCTTCTCCTCCATCCTCCTCTTGGGATCTTGGGCACGCCGCACATGTGCCCGGCATGAGTTTTAAGCCACCGGGTCCACGACTCGAACCGTGGTCGGCTACATGGGAGTCTAGCAACATAGCCATTACTCTAACTGCTGGTCCCAAATTTTATTTTTTAAAGAATTATTTTATTTAACTTTGTTTTACTCATTTAAATTTGACCAGAGAGAGTGAGAGCAAGTGAGAAAGAGAGGGAGAAAGTGAGAAAGCAAGCAGGCAGGTCCGGGACTCGAACCATGGTCAACCACGTGGGAGTCCAGCACCCTTAACCACCATACCATCTGCTGGCCCCTATTTATTATTATTTTTTAATGTGTGGGTGCATGCCCCAGATCCCCAGAGGACAATGAAGGGACTGTAGCATGGTATCCCCCAGGAGGGCAATTTCTTTTTTCCTCTCTCTCTTTCACTGTCTCCCTGGCAAGCGTATGTGCCCAATGGCAAAAAAAAAAAAAAAAAAAAAAAGAAAAAAAAA